AAATAGAGGGCTTTGCCTCTTATATTTTTCATTCAAGAATTGAGAAAAATTCAGATAGTTGCAATATTTATCATTTTCTTATTTTCTTCTTTCTTTAGTAATTTTCACAAGGTGAGGTGAGTGAGACACCTTTGTACTCTTGGTGGAGTTGCTTTGTTCAAGAGCACTTTTAATTCGGTGAAATTTTAATATCATTTTTTGTTATTATTTCTATTGATTATGTCATTTCATGTTCGTTATAAAATTTGTATAGTGATTATATTTTATTCGTTCCGTTTAGATAGTTAAGTTGCTTAATAAATTTGTTATTCACCACTTTGTACCGAGAGGTATATAGTCGATTTAGGAATATATAGTCGTTCTAGAATAATTGTAGACTTTACCACCTTAAAATATAAGGAGAGTTACTTAATGTAGTATTGTTTTTTATATTTGAAATTTATCTTGATAAATTAGAATTTCTCACTTTTATTTTTTCTTGTAATTTGCTTATTTATTTCCGCACTTTATTTATAATCTAAAAAATCCCAAAATCATTAAAGTTTTTTATCTGCTTATCTGTCTTAAAGTTTTTTTTTTCTATTTATATTTCTTTCTTTTTATTACCTCCACGTGGGATTGACTACCCATTTTATGTTGCAATCGACTGCTTTAAGAGTACTAGTTTGAGCGTTAATCAGTAAGCGTTAAATTTTATATCCTCAAAAAAAAAAATAATAATGAAGATTATAACTTGACCATCAATGAAGGATATTTTCCACAAATGATAGTGAGTATTTCTACATCTTATGATTCTCATTGATTTTTTTTTTTTTTTAGGAGGAAGAGAATGATCTTGCAAAACATTTTAAAAAAATAACTTTATAGCCACAATAATTTTGCTTATTGAAGTTAAGCAAAGTTAATCCACCCCTGTAACTGGTTCTTATCAATACAATTTTTTGTTAAAGAAAATATATATTTCAAAGAATGAAAAGGAATACAAATTTCAATACGCATGTGTAGTCTTTTATTATAGAAAACATGACATCCACAAACTATTGACTCCATCGATAAACTCAAAAATATATATATGTGTATATATAAAATAGTGTATACTGGACTAGAAAAATGAAAAAACCAACAAAGATTAAGAGTATATATGGCTCTTTAACATATTGTAAAGTCGATAAAAATCTCATTACAAAGAAACAAGTCATGTAGACAAAAATATAACTAACCATTGAACAAATAAGACACAACACAAATTAATTGGGGATAAAAACTACTACTTTATAGATGAAAGATAAAAAAATCTATAAATCAGAACATCAAAACATCAGAGAGAGTTAAACCCCTCGACACCAACAGAAGAAAACAACAAAAATAGAGATTGTGTTTGCAGTTGTTTTTGTTTTTATTTTTCAAGTTTTTCGAGAAAGAAAAAATAAAAACGGGATAAAAACGACATTTGACACAATTAAAGACAAAAAACATAAATGAAAATGATTTTTTAGTTTAGTATAAAATAGGAGAGAAATGAAAAATGACTTTTAGTCGTTTTTCAATTTTTATTTCTATTTTATAACGAGTTTCAAACGCACCCAGAGAGTTATTGGCTAACATGCTCCGCTGGTAGCGACGAACATTGATATGAGCACCATCATATGTGTCCTCTCTTTTTGCATACAAAATCCTCCAAATAGTAGGGCAAGAGAAAGACTGGCACACCATAAAATGCCTCACGGCCGATAACGACCCCATCCCTACCTTTGTTTCGAGTTGATACTTTCCTCGTCTATAAGTGGCACAAACCCTACTTGTACTCAACATCACATGACAAATTTGTAAAAGAAATTTAGTGGTTCAGGACTTGTCGGTACGCTAAAACTCTTTCTTATTTACTAGAAACACTATTCTATTTCTCTCCCCCTTTCTTTATTTTCTAGGGCAAGCTCCCTTAGTATTTAACCTTTTTGTTCTCCTCTTATTATTTTGGAAAAAAAAACGACTCTTGTCTAAAATTCATTTATTATTTATTTAAATGGACTTTTTCCGGTACGTTAACATATCGGTATGTCAAGTTTTTTGTTCGTCAGATCTACATAAAATCACGTAAAAATAAAAAAAATACGCAAATTCAACGGTAAAAAAACCTAGCCTACCGGTACACTAAACATACTAGAGAATCTCCCTTATTTAAAAAGTTACCTAATTCAAAGATTTATCCTTCTTTAACTATTGGAAGTGGAAGCATGAAATGAAAAAGGCTAAGCGTATAAAAAAATAAAAGAAAAATCCAAACTCAAGATGTTGAAAATATTTTTTTTATAATGATAAAAATACTTTATTTAATTATGAAATAAAGAAGAAAATAGAATGTATTAGGAAAGATATTTAAGTAAATTGCATATTTTTTTAGATGACTAAAATAAATAACATATTTACTTGTAAATGTTTATACACCCGATGTAAATACAATATTTATTGGCGATTACGATATTTACTAATGAATATTGTATTTATGCCATTTGAATAAATATAAATAAGTAAATATTCATTTTAATAATTTGCTATTTACTTAAAAAATCATTCAAAAATATGTTATTACTACAATTCTTGCATTGAAAATAAAAAAAAAGGAGAAAGAGCTAAATAGCATGTTTTTGAAAATATTTATAGCATATAGCATATTATAATATATATGGTAAATAAACATATTTACGGTAAACGAATCTTTTACGAAGCAAATTTACAAGATAAATTTATCGTAAAAATATTAAAAATATTTTTAAAATATAACCATTTGCTATAATTTCACAAATAAAAATACTATTTAGCCCAACCCAACAATGCCAATTTTTTTTTCTTGTAGCAAATATATAGTTGTTGACCAACACAATAATAACAAAATAATCGTGCTCACAAAAATTAGTGTTCATGCCACATGAATGAGATAACCAAAAAGCTGACACATAGGCACACATACTTTTATAATTCCAGCGTGGCACTTCTGTACCACACCGTGGCACTTCTGTACCACACCGTGGCATACAAAGAAATACAAATATTTTTACTCATTATTCTTAATAAATATAGTATAATTATTTAATTAAAAATATTAAAAATAAAAAATAAAAGATAAAAGTTATGACTCATACACTTTTAATGACTATTTGTTAAGATTGCTCAAACAAAATGAGTTTTCCTTTTGTGTAAAAAAATAATGATTAATTTCATAAATGTCCCCTAAAGCATATACCATGTTTCAAAATGCCTCTTAATTTTTTAAAATGATTCAAAATATTCCCTAATTTATAAAAAATATATTGCCCCGTTCATTTCGCTAATTCGAGTTTTGCTACAGTAAAAAGCTCTCACAAACAATCACATCTAACTTTTTTACTACAGTAAAAAGCTCTCACATAAAATCACATATCAACTCGAATTAAAAACTCGAATCAGCGAACTAAACGGGAAAATACTCATTTTATCCACTTCCGTCTTTACCCCTAACATAATGCTGAGATGACACTCATTTTAAAACATAAGACCTCTTATTATAACTGAAAAATAATTAATTATTATAAATTTAATTAACAATTTAGAAATTCAAAGTTTTAGAAAAAATAATACATAATCTCTATGAAAACCCACTCAAACTTTGAACAGCAAATCAGGCTCCACCCCTTCTTCTCAACGGTGATAGTCCCTTCTCGGACGATGATCAAGATCGCACAAGGATGGGTTGATCAGCCTGACCTTGGATTTGTTTTTTTTTTTTCTTTTATAGATCTGGTTTGTTTTCTTTTACAGATATTTTTTTTTCCCTCTTTTAGTTGTGCATTTCTCTAAAGATATTTGAATGAGATAAGATTAGATTAGATTTTTTTTTTTGTTTTTCATTTGCAGATTGGATTTGTTGTTCTTATTGTTTGGAATATGTTTGAGCTTATGGATTAAGGGGAAAAAGACGGTTGTTATTTTGGGTTTTTTCTTTTAAAAATAAGTAGTTGATTCCATTAAAATAAAATTTTCTTTAAATTTTTTTAGTCAGGTTTTTAAATTTATTCTTTATTCTTTGTAATAAAATAATCATTTCATTGATTTAATTAGAGTTTTAATACTTTTAATTAATTTTAAATGAATGCCACGTTAGTAAAATCTTAAAATTATAGATGGAAGTTACTAGAGGAAGTATTTTGATTTTTTTTTTCTATAGATTGAGAAGTATTTTGAACCATTTTAAAAAATTAAGAGCATTTTAAAATAAAATATATATTTCAGAGAGTATTTATGAAATTAATCTAAAAAATAATAAATAGGTTTTGATTTTCTAACGATGGAGTCCAACTTTTTTTTTCCCCAACTTATTCGGTGGAAATAGGGATATTTTGGGCAGGTCAAGGAAGTAATAAAAGAAAAGCCACAAGAAAAATAAATAAAATATTTTTTTTGAAAAATAAATAAAAAGAGGTCAAGGAAGTAATAAAAGAAAAGCCAGAAGAAAAATCAATAAATTACTTTTTTTTGTTAAATAGATAAAATAACATTGATAATACTAAGAGGGAGTTTTTTTAATATTTTTTTCTTTAGGAAAATTTCTCTAATAGTTTTTGAAAAAAAAAATTACTGAAAAGTATATATTTTTAATTGTAAAATTTATATAAAAAATTATTTATTTTATATATATATTTTTTAATATGATGTGATTTAAATAAAATTTAATGATGATTAATTAATTTTACCGTTAAGGTGACTCGAAACTCTTATAATAAAATTATTTATTTTTTTTAACAAAAACCAAAAAAAAAAATTGTTTGTTTTTTTGGCCATTAGGAGAGGAGGCTGTTCATCATACGTTTCATTCTCAGTATCCAAAAAACTAACAGAAAAGAAAAAAAAAAAATACGAACTCAAACAAACACCCTCTATTCTCTATTATCCCCAATATCTCTCTCTTTCTCTTATTTTTCTCTCCAATCCCACAAAAACCAAAACCCTAACCGCTTTTTCTCTTAATCTCTCTCTCTCTCACCCCATTCTTCGCTTCCATTTCAATCCTGGTTTATCTCTCCGTTTCTCTCTCTCTCTCTCTCTCTCTCTCTGTTTCTCTCTCTCTATATCTTCCCCTCTCTTTGCGTTTCTCTCGCTATATCTTCCTCTCTCTCTCTCTCTAGCCCTGGTCCTCTGAAAACTTCTCTGAAAAACGCCAGGCATTGGTTTCGATTCGAGAAGGTTCGGAGGGTGGTTGTTGAGACGGTTTGCGTTTTCGGCATAATCGTCATTCGAAAGCGGGGTAGGGTTAGTTTTTCCTCTTCTCTCTGTCTCTCTCTCTGTCCCTTATTGGAAGCCGCTCTTTGTCGCTTTCCCTCTCTAGAATTTTCCTGTGTTGACGATAATTTTTTTTCCCGCTGTTCAAACCCTAGGTTTGAGAACTAGGGTTTCTATATTGGCGGAGTTTTTTGGGAGTCTACAATCGGGATTGTTGTTATTATTATTTTTTATTAATCCTGGCCTAGGGTTTTTAATCTGAACTGGTTTTATGGGCGTGAATTGTTGTTGGTGTTCGAGAATATTGGTTTTCCCTTTGGACATATCGTCGTAGTTTGAGGAAATTGATTTGCGCTATCTAACTTGGAGGAGATGATGGGGTATTGAGTTTGTTGATATATTTCTGCAAATCCATCTTTCTTTGACGATGGAGGTGTAGTTTGATTATTTTTCTTTTGTTTTTATGTCCAAGAATCGTTGCATAGTCAGAGGAAAAAGATTTAGTTCCGAGAGAGAAGTATCGGCCAGTGGGTTTGGAACTGCTAATTGATTTATTGGGCACTGATTTGAATACAAGTTGGTCTTTTGGGATAAGAAAAACTTGGGTTGAGAGGTTTCTTTCTTTTTTTCTTTTCTTTTTGTCCCCTGAAGGATAGCAAATTTCATCACTTGGTTAGCAACTGGTTAACATTTTGTGCTTTATTGAATTTGGTTCGTGGAGTGAGTTGCTAGTTGGGAGTGGTTGTGAGGAAAGGTTGATTTGGTAATTCTTTGTCAAAGGTTAACAATTTTGAAAAGAAAAGGGTGGAGGTTGTGAAAAAGGCGAGAAGTGTCCTTGTTGTAGTATCTGATCATGTTCAGTGCTCCTTATGGAAAGAAGTGAACCAACGTTAGTTCCGCAATGGTTGAGAAGTGCTGGAAGTGTTACTGGGGGTGGCAATTCAGCCCCCCATTTTGCCTCATCTTCTTCTCACTCAGGTACGTCCTTTTTTCAAAATTATATACCCAAATTTGTGCTGTAAAAAGATATGTTCTGCTTCTGCATTGGATGGCCATTTTGTTTTTATGTTGCTTTGGTATATCAAACACTTAGATCATTGTTAGTTTTGCCTTTTTGGACATCTATAGTAATTTTTTTATTGTTTTAATTGTCATGTAGATGTTTCTTTGGCTCCTAATGCAAGAAATAGGGCTTCAAAGAGCATAAGTGAATTTGAAACACCTCGTTCTGCATTCCTTGACCGATCTTCCTCATCTAATTCACGGAGGGGTTCAAGTAATGGTTCTGCTAAGCACGCCTATAGTAGTTTTAACAGAAATCACCGTGATAAGGACCGTGAAAAAGACAGAGACAGATTTGGGGATCATTGGGATAGGGATAGTTCTGACCCCTTAGGAAACATATTTCCCAGTAGGGTTGAGAAGGACACACTGCGGCGTTCTCAGTCTTTGGTGTCGAGGAAACAAGGTGAACTGGTGTCTCGAAGAGCTAATGTTGACTTGAAAACCTCTAGCAACAGTAATCACAACAATGGAAATGGCTTGCTTTCTGTGAGTATTGGTGCTGGCATTCAAAAGGCTTCTTTTGAAAAGGACTTTCCGTCACTCGGAGCTGAAGAAAGGCAAGGTGGGCCTGAGATTGGAAGAGTTCCGTCTCCTGGTTTTACTACGGCTGTACAGAGTTTGCCTGTTGGTAGTTCAGCTTTGGTTGGTGGAGAGGGATGGACATCAGCACTTGCAGAAGTGCCTTCACTAATGGGAAGCAGTAGCTCAGGTTCCCTTTCTTCTGCTCAGCAAACTGCTGCGCCTACTTCTGGGTCTGCCACTCCAACTGCAATGGCTGGTCTTAATATGGCTGAAGCTTTGGCACAAGCTCCTTCACGAGCTCGTACTGCACCTCAGGTAATTGAGAAGATCGTATAAGCTTTAGGTCAGATGAAAATTGTACGTGCATCTCTGTGTGATGTAGGTCACACGTTTAGGATTCTAGGGATTTCAGTTATATCAGAATTCTTATTTTATTCAATTGTTTTATTTAATTGGTAGAAAGCTTCCTTAGATCTGGACTTGTATTTTCTAATTGTTTGGCTGGATAACGTGACACATGTTTTGGACATTTATATCGTTTAGATTTATAGATTTAATAAAAGTTATAGTTTTCTTGCAATAGTTCTTGCATTTCCATGCAGTCTTGTCTTCGTTAAAGTGGTGTTGAAGCTCTGATCTTTTGAGGTGTTTTTGTTTCCTAGGTATCTGTCAAGACACAAAGGCTTGAGGAATTGGCTATCAAGCAATCGAGGCAATTAATACCAGTGACACCTTCAATGCCTAAAGCCTCAGTAAGTAGATTGGAATTGATACTAGTGGAGCTTGTTACATTTTGTTGGTGTATTCACAGTCATTAGTGGTTTTTTTTTCCCTTCCTCTCTCTCTCTCTCTCTTACTCAAAATCTTAAACTTAAAATGTTTATTATTGCGGCATTAACTTAATATAGGCCTAATTGGTATATGGGTTCAAACCACGGCTCAAACCAAGGTTCTTGATTATGACTTTTGAAATTCAAATTTTTTGTGGGAGAAAAACATTGTAGCACCAAAGCTATGGGTTTGCACTGTAGCAGAACCCATATACCAAACATCACAATAGTTTTTTTTTTTTTATTTTACCCTTTTCGAATGAAGTTCACTCTATTATCGTTGGTCAAACACAATGGGCAGTAACTAGTCAAAAATAATTTCTATTATGTACTACTAAAGTCAAAGTGTCAAACACAATTGCTGATCTTAGGATCACGTTGAGATATTGATACTGCATATAGGTTACCCGTCTTTAGGCAAGATTTGCTAGTTGGAACTTGGAAGTAATGTTGCTTGTCTTGTATGGATTATTCATTTCCTAAATTAGTGGCCAAGCCCCCCCCCCCCCCCCCCCCCCCCCACCACCGCCACACTCTCCCCCCGCT